GTCTATCAATCTAATTACACTAAGAGAATATTGAAACGATTCAATATGGACAAGGCTAATCCACTTAGTACCCCAATGGTCAATCGAACATTAGATGTTGAAAAGGATCCGTTTCGACCTTGTGAAGAAGATGAAGATATTCTTGGTCCTGAAATACCATATATGAGTGCCATAGGAGCTCTTATGTATCTTGCTAATTGTACCAGGCCAGATATATCTTTCGCTACCAATTTATTAGCAAGATATAACTCGGCACCTACGAGGAGACATTGGAATGGAATCAAGCATATATTCCGTTATCTCTAAGGGACAATCGATTTGGGACTATTTTACTCTAACGATAAAAAATATGAAATAATCGGTTTTGCAGATGCAGAATATCTCTCAGATCCCCATAAAGCAAGATCTCAAACTGGATATGTTTTCACGATTGGTGGAACTGCATTTTCTTGGCGCTCCCAGAAACAAACATTAGTTGCGACATCTTCAAACCATGCTGAGATCATTGCACTTCATGAAGCAACTAGAGAAAGTATCTGGCTCAGAAACATGACTCAACATATTCAACAAGCCAGTGGACTATCGAACAATAATGACCCGACGGTGATATACGAAGACAATGCAGCATGTGTCGCTCAAACAAAAGAATGATACATTAAGAGTGACAGAACTAAACATATCCCGCCAAAGTTCTTCTCATATGCTCAAGAGCTTGAAAGAAACAAACAAATTAAAGTTCAATACATTCGATCAAGCGACAATGCAACAGATTTGTTCACGAAGGCTCTTCCGACGAAAATATTTCGAAAGCACATACACAATATTGGAATGAGACATCTTCGGGATTTGCACGAATGATAACTCGAGGGGGAGTATGTGCGGTTGCACTCTTTTTTCCTTATCTCGGTTTTTTGCCACAGAGTTTTTCCAGATAAGGTTTTTGATGTAGGGAAAGCTTCCGAGTGGGATAGATAAACGAGTATACGAGATACTCTCTCGTAAAACACGTAAAAGAGATACTCTCTCTTTATAATACGCAAAAACAGATTTTTTATTTCATATTCAACTACCTAATAACAAAGCATAAGACCCTTTAAATAAAGCCCCTAAATTAAATCCTAGCTTATTCTTCAAGCTACTAATTATTAAATAATATAATTGAAATAATAATAATAATAATAATAATAATAATAATAATAATAATAATAATAATAATAATAATAATAATTCTATTATTCTGCACCATTCTCCCCCGGTTGAACAGGATTCGGCCTCGAATCCGACCCGTTCTCGTTGGAGTCGTCCCCATGACAAGAATACTCCCGAAATTTTCCTCGATCAAACACGAATGTTGAAGGTCTTCCAACAACCTCGAACGTAAACATAATCTCGGTCAAGGCACATGTACACGCCACCAGACGCAAAACCCACACAACTGAATGAAAACAAAATACACCACCTCGTTTGCCGCGCTCAAATCCATAACGACGACCAAGCATCCCGTTGTTGGGAGACTGCGCGAAAGGCAATCGAAAAATGGCCCACCAGTTATCGGGCATCGGCTTCGGCCCCGAAAAACCATCTTTGGCCAAAATACTCACAAAATCGGGTGTAAATGACGGCTTCCCATTCAAAGACTTAATCGTTGCAACATCCCATACAGGACCTGTTTTCGTCACCGGAGGCTCATCATAAAAAAATGGCAGACCGTCGTAGATAAGGCACACGTCGGGCTCGAAATCTGGGGAATTACTGAAACTCCAGCCCGTTCGATGATGCTCCTGCTGCTGGTCGGCTACACTTGTGCGACAATGGACGAAGCCCGGGGACTCATTAACGTCAAAGCCTGCTGCTTGTTGTACAGGCCCAACACATGGAATAAATCCATCCCTTCCATGGTTCCAATAATTGGAATTGGGCCGCCTTTGCGCAGGCCCAAAACTGTGAAGAAAAATCCCGAGCTCTTTGCGTCTGTGCACAACAATTTTTCTGTGCACATCGCCCAAATTGCAATACCTGCCAATTCTCCAATCTCCAATTCTCCAATCTCGCGGCACCTCCGCAACTCCTCTGTGAAATCCGAAATAGGGAGGACCTCCGTATCCCGCCGCGTTCTTGCTGGCGCGCCGCCCATGTCGGCC